CCCCGCCCCCCGGGGTGCCCCTCGGCCACAGCCGCCTCCTTTGCCCACAGAGTATGAGCAGCAGCCGGCGCCCGTGCCCAGCATGGAGAAAAAGCGGACCGTGTACCAGATGGCGCTCAGTAAGTGGCCCAACCCGCTCCCCAGGTCCCGTGCCCCCTGCGGCGCCGTGTCCACTCTGTCCCTCACCCGCCCGCTGACCACCCTCACACCCAGCCTTGCCCCCCTTCTCACGTCTAAGCTGCCACCTTCCAGGATGGCCGGCTTGTTCGCCGCCCTCACGCCTTCCCATGGCTGGAGACTGTGTCTCCATTGGGGCTGCCTGCCCACCAGGGTGGAGATAGCTGGCCTTTCCGGGTCCTCAGGAGCCGCCCCGTGGGCTCCAGGCCGCTGGGTCTCTGCTTCACTTCGCCGTGTCCCGCCCCTCTCTACCTCTCCCCAGACAAACTGGACGAAATTCTGGCGGCAGCTCAGCAGACCATCAGTGCGAGCGAGAGCCCCGGGCCCGGGGGCCTGGCCTCCCTGGGCAAACACCGGCCCAAAGGCTTCTTTGCCACCGAGGTAGGTGTGGGGTGTGGGGAACCGGGGTCCTGGGGGAAGGAGTCTGGTCGGGCGCACACGTCAACCTGGAGCCGCCATCCCTGTCCTTGCAAACACTTCCCGGGGTCTACTCCTTCCTCTCTGCCCACCCTCTTCCTCCTAGTCTGCCCCCCTCCCCCAGACCCGCCTCTGGTCCCCTCCGTCCGTTCTCCGTTCCTGCTCCTCATGCTCACTCCCTCCTGCCCGTCTCTGTCCCACCTCGAAGGTCTCAGGAAGATAAGTCGATCATGATGGAGATTCCTGGCACAGGCCCAGCACGTACTGGGTGCTCAACAAGTGGTAGTTACTGAAATATTCATTACGATCTCGGTCTTGGCCCTGCCTGCTTCTCCCTGCGCGGGAGGCCGACCGCAGCGGGTGTGGGTTGTATGTGGGACACTGCGTTTTACATGGGTTGTGTCATGCATTCCTGCTTAGAAGCATCCTGTGAGGGCAGGGTAGCCCATTGGCAGAGGGGACGAACACGGAGTTCTCAGAGAGGGAGCCCGATTTCAACCCGGGCAGTCAGGCCACTGGATCCATGGTCCAGCCACCGCCCTCGGCCCTGCCTCTTCTGGTGGGGGCCTGCTGGTCCCTCCCTGGCTGTGGTCCCCACTGAGCTGGGCCCCTCCATGGGAGCACATTCCCCGCCAGCCCCTCCCCCCACCCTCCAGAGGTCACACCCTGCCCTGCCTCGCTCTTCGCACTTGTTTCTTCTCGGCCCAGGCCCTGCTCTCTGTCCCTGACCCCTGAACCCCTCTTCTGACAGGCCAAACCCACCACCTGTGGGGGGGGGAGCCATGGACCCCTTTAACATAGTGCTGTGAATGATGCTGATAAAGGCATATGAGTCCTAGCCGGTTGCTCAGTGGTTAGAGTGTTAGTCCTTGAACTGAAGGGTCGCAGGTTTCATTCCTGTCAAGGGCATGTGCCTCGGTTGCAGGCTCGATCCCTGGCCCTGGTCCGGATGTGTGTGGGAGGCAACCAACTGATGCGTCTCTCTCACATCAGTGTTTCTCTGTCTTTCCCCCTCCCTTCCACTCTCTCTAAAAATCAATGGAAAAAAATATCCTCTGGTAAGGATTAACAAAAGCATACGATAAAATACATAAGGTAACAAAAGAAGCCAGTTACCCTGAAATGCAGTTATCAAAATATTTTGAAAAAGCAAATTTATGATATAGTCATATCAGTGCCCTTTTTGTCACGACGTTAGCCAGCAAGATCTGGTGGCGGGCCGTATACTCTAACCCAGTGGTCGGCAAGCTCATGAGTCAACAGAGCCAAATATCAACAGTACAACGATTGAAATTTCTTTTGAGAGCCAAATTTTTTAAACCTAAACTATATAGGTAGGTACATTGTTAGTAACTTAATTAGGGTACTCCTAAGGCTTAGGAAGAGCCACACTCAAGGGGCCAAAGAGCCGCATGTGGCTCGCGAGCCGCAGTTTGCCGACCACGGCTCTAACCTCAAAGACAGAGGAGCATAAAACACTGTTTTGAGAAATTGTAGCCACTGCGATGGGATTTGGTAATATCTGTGATTGCTGTTGGGTCTTGCTAACGCTAGCATGGTTTGCGGCCTGCATTTCTCATTGAGGAAATGTTGCATTTTATTTTTTTTAAATATGTTTTTATTGATTTTTCAGAGAGAGAGGAAGGGAGAGGGATGAGAGAGGAACATCATCGATTGGCTGCCTCCTACACACCCCCTACTGGGGATCAAGCCCACAACCGAGGCCTGTGCCCTGACTGGGAATTGAACCAGCGAAGTCTCTTGGTTCCTGGTTCAACGCTCAACCACTGAGCATTTTAATTGGAGGATAATGAAAAAAAAAAATGTAGTTTTTCTCCCATCCAAGTGCATAGGCCCCCTGAAGTCTGTCCGCAGCCCCCCCCCCCCCCCAAGGGTTTGACTGCCTATTCTAGAGGCTCTGGTACTTTTACAAGAATCAAGTGCAGGTGGGACATTTTGACATTTTGTACCCAGACCATTAGATTTAGAAATGGGGACCCCACTGTGACTCGTGCACCCCAGATTTAGAGCCAGAGGGTCCTGGGCCACTTCTCAGGGCTTGGCAGGCCGCCCTGGGTGCAGTAGGTCCTCACTGCACACCCATCCTTGGTTGCCCAAGGAATTTGAGATCCGTGGGCTGTTAGGGTCGTCTTCCGTGCCCGCTCCCCACCAAGGTCAGTGTAAGACTCACAGCATGGACCGCTGTGGAGCATGCAGACCTGCCTCCACATCCCGACTTCCCTGACTTTACTTGGACCAGGCTATGCAATTTCTCCGCGCCTCAGTCTCCCGTTCTGTAAAATGGGACTAAAGCCGGTCCCGCTGGTTCTTACGAGGATTGAATAAGATCAACTCCTAGTACAGCAGGCGCTGGACGGATGGTGGGTCCCCCGAGGCCACAAAACAACAAACTGGAGACCCCACCCCGACTCGTGCACCCCCAGAGGCCCCACAGAAGCATATCAGGCTCAGTGCGAAGTCTCCGATAACGGATCAGGGCATTTACTCAGCGACTCACGAAGTGCCAGGCAGCCAGGGTGCCACCCCCTCCCTGTGCGAACCGTGGTTACAGGAGAGACAAAACCCTGGCCCTCAAGACTTCACGTCTGAGCACCAAAGACACCCCCAGGGAGGACCAAACACCTGTCAGTCATAACACCAGCTGCCCGCCCCCCTCCCCCCCCCCACCTGAGTCTTCCTTGGGGCCTCCCTTCCCTCCCAGTCAGACCTCCCCTTTTCCTCTCTCCCTCCTGGGACCTGTCCCTGGATCCTCCCTCTTACGTGTGGCTCTCTCTTTCCCTTCCCACCAGCCTCCCTGATCTTTCTCACCGTGAGTCCTGACATTTCTGGTCTCCTCTCCGGGGCCTCTCTCTCGGTCTGTGGTCTTGTCCTCTGTGTCTCCATCTCCCATTCGTTTCAGCTTCTGTCTCCTCTTCAGTCTCCCACTTGGGCCCTCCTGCCCTGGACCAGAGGGGGCAGGTGGGCAGTGTGGCCTCTTTAAATATATATATTTTTTAAAATTGATTTCAGAGAGGAAGGGAGAGGGAGCGATAGATAGAAACATCAATGATGTGAGAGCATCATTGATCGGCTGCCTCCTGCACGTCCTCTCCTGGGGATCGAGCCCAAAACCTGGGCATGTGCCCTGGACTGGAATCCAACCTGGGGCCCATCAGTCCTCAGGCCAACGCTCTAGCCACTGAGCCAAACCAGCTAGGGCCTGAGGCCTCTTTTCTCGGACCTGCACAGCCGCGAGCAAGAGCAAAATATTGTACAAGATGCCACTGTTTACCAACTTAAGCACTGGGCGATGTCAGCCTCCCTAAAAGACATGCCTCTGCAGAACCCTACAGGGTCCAGGGAGGCCCGCGGATGCCAGCAGTGAGGGCGCAGACCCCAGGCCGGTCCACCGCAGGCCAGGGCGCCTCTTGGGCTTTGTCCCCTCCCCTCCAGGGCTCTGCGGTCCATCTGTCTGTCCCCCCGCTCTGCGAGGCTTTGGCTTTCTGGACAACTGTTTCTGCTTCCTGTTCACTGACCCCTCCCCAACCCAGGATCCCCTGTCCATCCTCTCTCCTCCAGTATTTGTATGGTGCAGGTTTCAGCCTTTCTCTGGACTCGGATTCCCTCTGATCATTTTTAAAAAATACATTTTTATTGATTTCAGAGAGGAAGGGAGAGGGAGAGAGAGATAGAAACATCCATGATGAGAGACAGTCATCAATCGGCCGCCTCCTGCATGACCCCCCTGGGGACCGAGCCCCAAACTCGGGCATGGGAATCGAACCGTGACCTCCTGGTCCATAGGTTCACGCTCAACCACTGAGCCCCGCCGGCTGGGCCCTCTAATCATTTTATCACACCCTCTCGGTTGCATGCTCTGCCTCTGTCTCCCCAGGGCCACTGCAGCCTCTCCATTCCAGGGCCTCTCAGGACTGACTTTCTCTCCCTGCTCACGGGTCGCTTTGCCTTCCCATCGCTGTCTCGTTGCCTCTCCTGTCTCTCAGTCTCTGTCTCTCCCCTCTCTGGACCTGAGTCTCTGTCTCCCCCATCTCTCTCTTTCCTGCCATCTCTCTGTCTCTCCGTCTGTCTCCCCCTCCATTCTCTCTCCCCTGACCCCTCCCAGGGGCTGTCTCCATGGCGCGAATTGCCTAGCCCAGTGGTCGGCAAACCGCGGCTCGAGAGCCACATGCAACTCTTTGGCCCCTTGAGTGTGGCTCTTCCACAAAATACCACGTGCGGGCACGGACGTACAGTGCGATTGAAACATCATGGCCCATGCGCAGAAGTTGGTTTTCGGCCTGGGCGAGTCTATTTTGAAGAAGTGGCGTTAGAAGAAGTGGGGGGTGTCGGTCGGTCGGTCAGGTGATGGGAGACCGGCGCAGGCGGGCCGCGGGATATGCAGAGCAGGGGAGGTACATTGTTTTGAGGTACGTTCGCTGAGGTCGACCCCTTCCAACTCTCCCATCCACACTCGTCTATCTGAAACAAGTATACGAGATGATGTGGATGGGAGAGTTGGAAGGGGTCGACCTCAGCGAACGAACCTCAATCAGATTGAGGATGCTTTTAGCAAAGGCCAGCTCAGGAGTACCCTAATTAAGTTAATAACAATGTACCTACCTATATAGTTTAAGTTTAAAAAATTTGGCTCTCAACAGAAATTTCAATCGTTGTACTGTTGATATTTGGCTCTGTTGACTAATGAGTTTGCCGACCACTGTCCTAAGCCCATCTTCAGCCTCCGGCCCGTGTTCAACACCAGGGCACATACTCTGTCCCTGAGGCACCAGACCCACAGACCGCCCGAGACATGGCACAGGGGGATGCTGGGCCTCTGGACCACTCGCTGGGGAGGAGTCTGCCCAGCAGCTGGTGACATCACGCCACCAGGCGCATCCTGATTGGCTGTCCCCTCCGCCCATGGGAGAGGGTGCTGCCTGGTTGTTGGTTTGTTGATGGAGGTCAGCCTGTCCCACCTGGAGTCAGTCCGCCCCTCCAGCCGTCGCTGCGCCCCCTCAGAGGCTGTTATGGCTCCTCTGTCAGTCCGGCATCTCCTGGGCCACGCTGACCCCTCACGACTCAAGCTCACCCATTATTTGACCCCTCCTTCCAATTCGACGTGTCCCCGGTCAGTCTTGCAAATCCGATGCCTCTCCCTTCACTCTGCACCCTCTTCCGTTAGGGGCACCCTTCCTCTGTCACTGTGACTCCTCTTCTATCTCTGCCCCCCATCCCTCCTGTCCCGCTGGCTCCCACCCCTCCCATGCCCACGCCTCATGCAGGATGCTTCTCGCACCTCCCTCCCCGCCTCGCAGCCATCCTCTTGCCCGCCCTCCCCAGCCGGGACTCCACGCATGTCCTCCCCAGCCTGTTTCTGCCCCTGCATCCTTTCTGACAGTCACATCCCTTTCCTTTGCTCTTTGTACCCTTCTTCCCCTCACTCAACCTCAGCATTTTCTAGTCACTCCCGTCTGTTTCCTACAACGGCCCTGTCACCTCCTCCTTACTTACTGGCTGGCCTTGTAGGACATGACCTTCTCCTTGACTCATAGCCTCTTTCACTGCCATCAGAATGGGGTAACCAACCCTAAGACACACGGTTGGGGATTCAGTGAGGACCTAACACAACACATAAAACAGATGGCAAAGTGGCTTGCCCAGAAGCGGCTTCTCTCTCTCTCTCTCTCTCTCTCTCTCACACACACACACACACACACACACACACACATACACATACATACACCACCACCACCACCCAATCTCCTCTTTTGCGGGGTTCGGCTCCCTGATGCCACACCGATCGTTATGAGCTGCAGGACAGGATGGAAAACCAAGCAGGGTGTTCGGCTGAGGCTTAGGGAGAAAGGGCTTAAGGGGAATGTCCGAGAAAAACATGCAGCAAAGTCAGGAAGAGTTGGCAGGCTGAGAACCCTGCTCAGAGGAGATGAGAACTGGGGAAACCAGTCAAACCAGGCATGCCTGCAGGAGACCCTTCCTGGCGCCTTCTGGGGCTGCCCGGGCGCCCATGTGGATGTCCAGGGGCACAGAACTGGCGTCTGGCCTTCAGGCTGCTCCCCCGGTCTTGTCGTGAGCTTGTGTCACTTCCATTCAGTCCTTCGTTCTACAAATATTTCTTGAGCACCTACTATGTGCTAGACCTGCTGCTGGGCCCTGGGGTGTAGGAGTGAACCAGTCAAGCAAGGTCAATTCCCTTAGAAAATGTACATTTTGAGGAGGGGAGAGGGGTTGTGGAACTTCCAAACAACAGTGCCCGATGTTGGGTCTTTCTTAGTCACTTGTTCATTTGAAGTGAAGCTGTAGACTAGTATCAGGCCCTGTTTAGGGACTCATCGGGGAACAAGAACAACAAAGTCACTATCTTCAAGCAATTACCCATGACTTTTTTTTTTAAATTTCAGAGAGGAAGGGAAAGGGAGAGAAAGAAACATCAATGATGAGAGAGAATCATTGATTGGCTGCCTCCTACATGCCCCCCCCCACCCCCCGGGGATTGAGCCCACAACCTGGGCGCGAGCCCTGACTGGGAATTGAACCCTGACCTCCTGGTTCATAGGTCAACGCTCAACCACTGAGCCACGCTGGCCGGGCAGTTATCCATGACATTTGAAAAAGTATATTTTTCAAATTGATTTCAGAGAAGAAAGGAGAGGGAGAGAGAGAGACAGAAACATCAATGATCAGAGAGAATCGTTGATTGGCTGCCTCCTGCACACCCCCAGTGGGGATTGAGCCCGAAACTGGGGCATGTTTCCTGATGGGAACTGAACTGTGGTTCATAGGTCAACCCTCAACCACTGAGCCACACCGGCTGGGTTTATCCATGACTTTCATGGGCCTTTAGCAATTTTGCCTTCATGAGTCCCTACCTCCTAAAAAAAAAAAGTTTAAAAATCTGTATTTTGTCGCTGTGTTGATACCAAGATGAGTATTATCCAGGTTGATTCTACTTTTTTCCCCTTCTGATTTTATTTTATTTTAAAATATATTTTATTGATTTTTTAAAGAGAGGAAGGGAGAGGGATAGAGAGTTAGAAACATGGATGAGAGAGAAACATCGATCAGCTGCCTCCTGCACACCCCCTACTGGGGATGTGCCTGCAACCAAGGCACATGCCCTCGGCCGGAATCGAACCTGGGACCTTTCAGTCTGCAGGCCGACGCTCTATCCACTGAGCCAAAGCGGTCAGGGCTCCCCTTCTGATTTTAAAAGAAGTTAAAACATTTCCCCTAAAAGTGTCAGGGGCTCTCGACACTGTACCCTGTTAACTGGGATTATCGATGGTGCCCTCAGGGAACTGACATTCTAGGCTGGGAGACAGACAGTAAGCAAGCAGATGAGACCATTTCGGATGGAGAAAAGCGCCAGGAAGAAAGCAGGACAGGGACAGGCGGTCGACAGTGACTGGGAGGGGACAGTGACGTGAAGAGCGTGAAGGTGGGAAGCACCTGTGGGGGTTAGGAGGGGGTCGTTGCAGAGGAAAGACCCAGGACCTGCAGGTCTAATGCAGAGCTGGGCCTCGGGGCCCTGGGGGAGCAGGGAGGGGGGACGTGGTGGGGCCTGAGTGAGCAAGGAGGAGATGCAGGTGGGACAAGATCGCATAGGGCATATGAGTCTGGGTCTCCTATAGTCGGAGTCTGACATGGGGATTCTTTTTTTTTTTTTTTAATATATTTTATTGATTTTTTACAGAGAGAAAGGGAGAGGGATAGAGAGTT